GCAAATACATATAGTTTTTGTATATGTACTATGGCACTGTATACTAGTTATCTTATAAAATGTTTGCTCTTATTTTTTCTTCTTTCAAAAGTTAGTATTTGTATTTATTATATATAAACATGGATATACTATATAAATCATATATAATAAATACTAATTTTGCTATTAGAAGCGAAACATACAATGTTTAATTTAAACTGATTGTGATCATTGTAAATACTAACGGTATGCTTCACTGGAATGATGAAATCAAAAGAAATATCAATTCTAAAGAATCGCTTATTTTATTTTACTCATTAATTTATGTAGTAGTCACTACCTGAAACTCTGAAGTGGGATCAAGAAGTAAAAAGGTTTCTTTTCAGTAGGAGTTCATAACTGGCTCAGAGGAAATTCCAAAAGAATTCCCAAATATGATTAATATTAATATTCTGAGACACTGCAGTATTGCTGAAGTAGGTACAAAGAACTCAAAGTGACCATTTTGAAGGCTAGCACAGGTTTGGCTTCTAGGATGTTTTTTAAAAACTTAATCTCTGTTTTAGAGTCACAGCTAACACATTCTTTTGAATATATTTGATTCAAAATGTCTATCCTTAGAGACCCATTAAGGGCCAACACTGTACTGTCACCTTACCAATCTAAAAAGAGAAAAATAAACACCAGAAAAATCTAATCCAGTTCACATCATGCGCCAAGCACATGGGTTCTGTAAAGAAAACCAACAGAAAGTAACGCCAGGACACTGAGCAAAGGAGTGGTGACAGCGGCGACCTGGGAAGGTTCCCTGGAACGAGACAATTTGATGGAGCGGAGGTCACACATTCAGCTTAAATTTCGTGCTCTCCACAGGCCTTACTGACACCAGTGCTCAGTAAAGGGCTTATGGACAGACATAATCTAAATACTCAGCAGTGAGGAAATTGTTCAATAAATCACAGTGCTTGAATATGGTGGAATATGGTGGAATAGCATGCCTAATATTTTTAAAAGCCTGATGTTAAAAAAAAAAAGAAAATAAGGCATGTACTGATATGGACTGCTCTGCAAAATACATATTTAAGTAGAAAAAGCAAAGCGTTTATAAAACAATCTAATGTGAGTAATTATTTTAACTTTTTTTTTTTTTACCTTCCTCAAAGTGCTTTAACTTTTTAATGTAGAAAATCTTAAACATACAAAATTAGAGAGAACAAAATAATGAGGCCTCATAAACCCACCTTTAACAACTACCAGCTTATGGACAATTTTGTTTCTTTTTTTTTTACCCCCATCTCAATTATTTTGGAGAAAATTCCATATACAATGTTATTCATATTAGTTTATATTATATAATGTTATATTATATATTATACTAATATATATTATTTTCTATCTCTAAAAAGTAAGAACTTTTTAAAAATATCATTATCATAAAATTTGGGTGCATTTTGAAATTTATTATAAATGTGGGTATATGCCTAAAATGTTTTCCAAAAGAAAACAAAGATAAAAAAAGGTATTGGTCATTAGCAAGGTAAGGAGCTAGAGTGAGGAGCAGGGGTTTACTGTTGATTAAATAACTTTCAAATCTAAAATTTAACTATTAATACAACAGAAAGCACCATGTCTGGAAGAGCAGAAAGGCTGTCACAACCTGAGGAAGAGAATTAGGCCTTGCGGGTGAGGTGGGGGTGCTGCAAACAGGCGGCAGAGCTTGCATGTGAGATACTCAAGGAGTTCTTTATGTAGATTCAAACACCACAGTGACCATCAGCTATAGGATATGAATTCTCTAAATGGATAAAATGTAACAGAGAGTTGTGAACTCAGTAGCATTACTAAACATAATTATGCTTCCAATAATATGCAGGTCCAGACATTTAGAAAATGAAATGAACTCACCTCAACCTCCCTACTGCCATATCCAGCTACAGCAGGCTGATGAAATCTATCATTTAAAGTACTGCGATTTTAAAGGGCACTTCAAAAATATTTCTTCTTTTTTTTTTTAAAACAAGTTAATGTCTTAACTTTCCCCTTCTCTTTTCCTTATCTGTAGTCCTTATCATTTCTCTGCCTAATAGGATGGAAAAATGTCATTTCCTTCCCTGGTGGTTCCTCTGTCGTATCTGTATCCATTCACATTGCCCAGGACTCACTAGGGTAGCTGCGGGGTTATGTGACAGAAACAAGCCTTTTGAGAGCTTGTTTACATTGAATTCAGATACAACAAAGTTCGCCACATCTTTTAGTCTTGTGCTCTGTAAATTGGGAGGAGATATGAGAACATGAAGTTAAAAGCAGCTGACTTTGAGGACCCTGTTCATTTCTGTCACAATTTGGACTCCTCTGACAAATCTGACGCTATTATAGATACAGACAAAGGTCAAGAAAGACTGGTCTGAATTAGACCATCTAAAATCCTAAACTCCTGAATATATATTTTTTAAAAAGCCACCACTTTCTCACTCTCAAATATCACTTGAGCAAGGCTAATAAAATGTTCCCCAGTAAAGGTCAAAAAGGGAAAGAAAAGGTCTTTAATGAACAGACTTGGAACTTTTTAAACTTTTAACTTTTCATTAGCTTGAGCATAAATAAGTTCTGAGAACTTTAAAATAGTTGGTTCGCTTCATTGGGTTATACCTGCCCCAGACAACTGTATTTCTTTTATTATTTTGCTTAACAGAACCCAATATTTCTAAATAGTATATAAAAATATTTCACTTAAGCACCGGCAGTCTAATTTCTAAATAGATGATGTTTTACTGTACTTAACACTAAGGTCGTATTTTTTCTCTCTCTTTTTTTTTTTTTTTACAAAATGCTTCCTAGAACAAACGGCTTATGTATGAAGTAAAATAAAACTGTAGAAGAATCTAACAATATTTTCCACACACATTGCTCAATTTTACCCCAACAGACTCACGTTCTCCTCTGCCTGCAAATGGATGTTTTGCGTCTAGAGATTAATTCCATTGATAACCGGAAACACCACAAGAAAGTGCCACCTTACTACACCTTCCCCAGGGGTACCTGTTTCATCTGGGGGGCTGGGCGAGGCACTGTCTTGGGACAGTGTGGTCCAGCTGGACTCCTCATCGCTGGGTGCCAGGTTCTGGATTCGATGGAGCGCGCAATCGGTTTTGGCCCCGGTTTTAGGATGATCCTTCTTGGTCTCTGGGCTGGATGACACGGTGGCTACTTGGCCATCTTCAGGGCTACCCTGGGGTTTGTTTGGTTTCTGCAGCAGCGGATCGCCATCCCCAGTGATGGTGGAGGCCTGGTCCTGGCCCAGCTGGGACTTCTCTTCCACATCCTCATGCTGGCTGCCTAAGTTCTGCTCTAGTTCTCGGGTTGAGGTCTCCAGGTCTGCATAGTAATTTAGGAAGCTCTTGGTTCTCCTGGGTTGGGAGGGTAAAATTTCACAGCCTGGGGAATCCCGTGGGTGGGGCTCTTTACCTTCTAACTTCTCAGAAGTTATGTTGATGACAGCAGTGGGGCTGACGTTCTTGTTGGGGTCCTGCTGCCCTTGTTCTGCAGCCTTCCGGAGCTGGTTCTCCCCGTTTTTCACCAGCTTGATGTTAGCAGAGCCATTTCCCAGCAGGGGCTGTGCAGCTGGATCCGAGAGGCCCATGGCTGCCTGGATGTTAGTTAGTGCATATTTTTTCCTGCATTTTGGGGGGGTGTTGTTCTTGGTTTCTGTGTGTTTTATTTCAGCATTCAACAGTTCATTGTGGGAGGAACGGAGGTTAAGGGTATTTGGTGGTGTGGCCAGGCTGTTCCGATTCGTGACATCTGTGGTTCCGCTGCTGGCCATAAACACTGCCAAAGTGTCTACACCTGAGTCAGCTGGGAAAAAAAGAAATCTAGTCATTAGATGCCTGGCATGATTAAACTACTCAGCATACACAGTGAGCAAACATTTTTATACAGAAAATTGAAAGAATTAATGCTTCCGTTGCTATGTTTTTGTAGAATTGACCCATTTTCCTCTTTATTTTCAGTTTGCTCATACATTAAATAGAAGCAAATGAAAGGCTTAATGTGAATACACAAAAGCCAATTTATAGAAAAGCTAAAAGGTCTGAGGGTCCAAATTTTACTCAGCATTAAAAAGTGTCTCCTTTTGAATTCAGATGTAAGCATTTTCTTCTGGTGGCTGGTCTTCGTTTTTCACAACCATGAAAATCATCCCCTTTCTCAACATTTACACCACATTTCTATTTTGTCATTCCCTCGGGCAACAAACAAACTTGTTCAAAAATCCTCTGGGGCTCCAGCTTTCCTAATTAACCTGAAAGGTCACTGTTCAATGATGCAACTTACGTCTAAGGTAATTTTTCTCAACTATGTTTAGAAGTTGTGTTCTAAGTGCCCAGACAAATCAAACCTCCATTAGAGTGTTTTGCTAATAATGTCTTTGGGAACATTTTTGACTTGGGCTTAGTGTTTGTACTAAACAGAAATTTTGGAGAAATGCCTTAATTGCTCAAGAACGAACACACACACACACCCTATTACTAATAATGTAGCATTGCACCATGGCTACAGGCGTGTTAGAGCCCCAAAGGAGTCCGAATATGTTCCACTGAATTAAAATACAGACTCAGCTGCTGGCATCCACCATGTGCCCTTGCAGAACTCCTAGGAAACTATCTGACAGCTGCATTTATCTCAAATATTGTTCACACCATCAGTGATTTATTCCATGTGTCTCTTGCTAGGAAGAAAGAAACGTTTCTCAGATTAGAAGGGAATAAAACACATCAGTAAGAATTCCTGACGTTTCACATTTCTCAGACGAGGAGGAACGACTTCTTTCTTATCTGATTCTTTGCCCTCCACAGAGACCTCCGTGAGTTCTACACCAGGGGTTGATAAGCCCAAGCACACCTCCTAACATTCCTAAAATTGTATTGTGACAACTCCCTCTTCCTCCCCAATGCGAAGCAGGGACCTCCACAGGAGAAGAAGGCAAGAATGTTCCACTCAGGAACTTAGAAGTACCTCTTTTTATCATCAAATATACAGGATGGGCTACTTTAGAAAAAAGTCCCCCCCTCATCCAAGAGTCTGTATTATTCTAGGAAACTAGGCAACGTCTGCGTGGTCTAGGCAGTGTCCACATTTATAACAGAATGACCATGTGGCCCATAGAGATAATTAAGGGCTTTAAGCCACAGGAGTTAGACCTTGGGCCCCATTCTTCAGAATTAATACTTATAAGGATCCCTGATTACCAGCACCTCATCTCAGCACGTGGGCTTCATTTTACAGGAACAGAGAATCTAGGGTGTTTCTCCCTTTGAAACAGTACTCTGATGACTAAATTAAAATAATAATAATAATACTATTTTGGCTACCACTACCATTTTATGGAAAACATATGTTTCTATTTATAATTCAACCTCACTCAAGAGTAGCATTTGATATGAGACAGGCCCATCTTGAACCCACATGAAGTTTTCCCTGAGACACATATCCATAACATAGTCACACAAGAGAAAATTACATTCAGACTCTTGGGCATTTAGAGTGACACTATTATGAGAAAGCTGGAAATCTGCTGGGTTTTTGAAAGGCATGGCAAAAAAATGTTATGAGGCTATTTTATGTTAGGTACTACATTCTAGCGATGTTATTAGGGAGGAATTTTTATTTACATTGTTTATAACCATAAACATTTTCAGAAAGAAGACCATCAAAATTTCTAGGTGATTTAATACTGAGTAGCTTTCATATCCTGGATGTGACAAAAACTTTTAGCCAAGTTCTCGTCAGCCTTTTGGGTCCCATCGCCCTCTCCCTACGCCCTTTGTAACCCTTCTGCTTGCTAGACATCATAATGGGGTTGTTAGAACAAGAGGACCATCCTATACAAAACAGCTCTGTCTGGGCTGTTTTTACAGATCAAAGCCTGAACACAGTTTGAATGTACCTTAGATATTAAATGATGGTATCATCTGGAGGCAAAATTAAGGTTCAGATCTAGAACTAAGGCAGTCAAGGAGATCCTATAAAGTTATAGTCTCCAGAAGTTAATATGCCAGCTGGCAGTCATTTGGGCTCAAGCAGGTCATGGAGTACACAGAGGTTAGCAAAATCCTAGAACGAACACGGCTGCAGGAAGAAGGGTCCCCCAAAATGGGAGGCAGTGCCCATGAGGATAAGAGCACAGAACTCAGGGTCAGAGAGGCAGGCTCAAACCCTGTCTGTGTTCCTTACTAACTGAGTCATTTAGGACACCGGGCTTTCAGTTTCCCTGTCTAAAACATGGGGACAGTAATAGTACCTGGTTGTGAGAATTAAATGAGAAATGCCAGCAGAAAGTTTAGCGGAGTACATAACGATGAATGTGAGCAACCCTCACCCATTTTTGTCCAAGCGACAGAGCACGGGGCTGCCTGCCGAGGCCCCCAAATTAACCACCTTATTTGGTCTGAGTGACACAAATGGTCCTGTTGCAGAGACACACAGAAAGTAAACACACTAGCAGGAAGGGAAAAAGAAGTTGGGCCTAGAAGGGTTTAATTATTAATACAAAACCCAAAAAGCATTCCTCAGGTTTAAGAGTAAGGTTTGTGTTTCTTTTTTTAAAGTAAACACAATTTTACAATGTCTCTTTAAACCTTCTAATATCGAGCTGTTCTCTTTGGAAAAGAAACAAAAAGCCCCAAAATAAGTCCAACCTCCTTGACATAACAGACAAGTTAAACTCCCCATTTGTTTACTGTAAAATCAGGAAGCAGTGTCTACACCTCACTGAGCCTTGCTGGGAGCTAAGAGATGACTGGCAAGCATTTAACCTAACGCCTGGTGTATCGTAAGAGTGATATACATGGTAGGGATTATTATTCTCCTATAGCTCCCTCCTCACCTGCACACTTTTGTCTCTAACCACCATACCTCAGGCCATCATTTACTGGGCACTTTCTTCCTGCCAGGCACTGTGCTGGGAACTGGGAAACCCAGACACGCAAGGTCCCGCCTGCGAAGTGCTTTCAGCCTTGTGGAAGGCACATAGACAATAAAGTGACAGAAATCAACCAGGGTGGGAGTGAGGGAGGTGCAAAGGAGTAAGCGTAGGTTGGAGAGGATTTGAAGGTCAGAGGGGGTGGATCACCATCTAGGAAGTCTGAGCAAATCAAGACAAGAAAGGAGAGGTGGCAAAGAAGGAGGGCGGATCAGGGAGAGAGTCCTACAAGACATGCTCTAGGAGTTCAGACCTGACCCTGAGTCAGAGAAGAAGATCCAGAACTTCAACAGCAGCGTGAAGAATGAATCTGAGGCTGAGGTGTGTGTGCGTGCGCGTGTGCGCGCGTGTGCGCGCGCGCGCGCGCGCGTGTGTGTGTGTGTGTGTGTGTGTGTGTGTGTGTGTGTGTGTGTGGTGTTCCTTTATGTGGAGGGGGAAAGGTCATTTTTCCTCTAGAATATTCTCCAAGAAGGAGATGGCTGATGAAAAGGCTTTAAAGAATCAATGTAAATTAGGCAATGAAAACATCAACAGTCATCCGGAAAGAGTAGACAGAGGGTGTCTCCTTAACCAAAGTGGCGGGTTGGCCCCATCTTCATGCTCCTCTATCTGGTATTAGAGCCTGATTCTGCCATTTACTGAAGGGGAGCAAAACCCAGGCATGGAGACCAGCTGGAAGGCTACTGCAATAGTCCACTCAAGGCAGTAGGACAAGAACAAGGTAGGAGCGAGAGACTCAGGTATGGGGAAAGTCCTGCTCTCATACTGTCATGGTGCCACCTCTGGTCACTCATCTCCTGACCGGGATATGAAGATGAGGTCTCCATTAGCCACCTGGATTTAGAAGTAAAAGAACCAGGTACATTGAGTGAGTATAAGGACATTGGTGGCTTCTGCCTCATCAGCTTCATGAGAATGGCAGAGGTGGGCAGAGAGTGACCTTAAGGAACTTCACTATGAACAAAGACGGGCGAGAGAGAAGAGCAGCTGGAGAACAATCAAGGATTGTGGGATGAAATTTTTCTTTTCTGAAGATGAGAGTCTTAGCCATGTTTTATTACTTATAGGCTGGAAAAGCAGAGGCCAGTAGAGAAGGGAAAACTGGAAACACAAAAGAGGAACAGGCCATAAGGTAGAATCCAGGTGACGGGAGGAGAGGAGGGGCCATGCAGATATAAAAGAGCTGGCCTTGCCCAAAACAAGCGTACTTCTTCAAGTGAGAAAGGAGGAGAGGGAGTAAGGATGGGGACAGGAACATATGTCACTGCGGTGACACAAAATCGAGGAAAAGCAAAGCTGATAGCCTCAATTTTCTCTATAAAGATAGAGTCTTCCCCTGAGGGGAGGCAGTCTCGGGAAGCCTGAGGAGATGGACAACATTTAGAAATAGTCACAAAAAAAACCCCACAAGGATAATGACTTTAAGACAAAACTGAAGTTTGATGGCATAAAAATAAGCATATAGATCAATGGAACAGAACTGAAAAACCAGAAATAAACCCACGCATGTGGGGTCAATTAATTTATCACAAAAGAGCCAAGAACATACAATGGGGAAAGCACAGTCTCTTAAATAAATTGTGTTGGGAAAACTGGACAGCAACATGCAAAATAAAATAAAATAAAATAAAATAAAATGAAACTGGGCCACTATCTTTCTATAAACAAAAATTAACTCAAAATGGATTAAATAGTTGAAAGTAAGACCTGAAACCATAAAACTTCTAGAGGAAAGCACTGGGGATAGGTTCCTTAACACAGGTCTTGGCAATGATTGTTTTAGATTTGGCACCAAAAGCAAAGGCAACAAAATCAAAATAAACATGTGGGCCAAATCAACCTAAACAGCTTTTGCTCAGCAAAGGAAGCCATCAACAAAATGAAACGGCAACCTATGGAATGGGAAGAAAAAAAGAGCTGCAGAGGGGGATGTGACTACTGTGTCAGGTGTAATCCTGAGGGTGGGTCGTCAGTACAGAGGTGGTTCTGCTCCTGGTTTTCTCTGGAAGGTGCACAGGGCCCATGATTTTGCCATCACTTCCTCATCTATTCCTCATGCTGTTCTGAGTGTTACCTATGAAGATCCAACATCAATTCAAGAGGATCAATTCCTGCTCCAGAGCTAGATATGATGAGTTCAGAGTTAAGGGTGTGACAAGAGCTACTATGACTGCTGCCACCACTCTCCTGCATGCTGCACGATGGAGGAACATTTATTAGAGCCTGGCATGTGCTTCCTTCCTTTTCTGGTAAGAGCCCCACAATTTTTATTGAGGAATCAGCCTTCCTTCACACTCATTCAACAGATTTTTTTTCCCTGTGTACTACAATGCAACAGATACAGTTTTCACCGCAGATGATACAGGAGTAAACAAAACTGAGAAAATAAAGCTCTCACGGAGCTTATATTCTAGGGATTCAGCCCGTGTTTCAGGTAGAAATGACTCCACCCCTTACTTCCTGAGACACATGACCCAGGTCCAGCCAATCAGAGTAGCAAATCCCCATGGCTACAGTGACTGGTTCGAGGAAAGGCATGTGACCCCACAGAGCCAATCCTAAGAGTTTTGCAAGAATAATCAGAAGTGCTTTCTTTTCTCTTTTTTAAACTAGAAGATATAGGCTTCAAGGGGTGCCATGAAAAGACAACTTGCCTAAGCAAGAGCCTAACAAATGCGCAAGTAGAGCCAAGAGACAGAGAAAAAGTGAGCGAGCTCTACTGACCTTGGTGGACTCCCTGAAAGGAGCCATGCCTGAAACATGATACCCCCAGAACTTCTAGGGTATTGAAGCCATTCAATTTTTTTTTTTCTTAAATCAATTTAAGCTGTTTTTCTCCTTTTAGCAACTCAAAGAGCCTTAGGGAATACACAGAGTATTTTTTATGAAGCCTAAACAAAAGTCAGGAGGGTCATTTTAATTCCATGGCTAACAAAGCTTTTCTCAAACCCAGAGTCACAAAGATCCCAGCACGGAGCTGTAACCCCATAACTTCTAATACATCCTAATACAAACCTGTGCTGGAGCCTGTAGTGAAACCTGCTCTCCTCCTTGTCTTTTCTGAGAATGCTAGCCTTCTGTCAAAGAAAAAATTTGTCAGGGATGACAGGAAACTCCTCTCTTCAGTCACCTGCTTTCCCTCTGCTTCCCTGACATGCTTATAAAATTGTAAACAGACAAATGGGCCCAGGGAAGCCCAGTGTTTGCCCCACTCTTAAACGAGACCACATTTTCTTCGTTTCTGTTTTTTCTTCTATAAAATTTTATTTCCATTGAGGAGTTAACAGCAAAACTTCTATCCTGAGGAATGTTGCCTTTTGAACTAGTTCTCAAAGAATGAAGGAAATAAAATAAACTCAGACTTTTTTTCTTTTCGGAAGGAGAGGCAAAATAAAGCTGGTTTCCTGAAATTACTCATGAAAGTCAACTCTCAATGTGACAAAAATGATAAGAACTTCTCTGTGAGCAAAAGACACAAAGTTTGTTCGAAGGCAGCTTGGGTCACTGGGTCGGAGATCACAGGATTGATTAGTGCCTTGGAAGTTTATAAAGCAGGGGAGCAGCTTCACAGCTGATTTATAGGGCAGCTTCCCTGGGCTCTGGGGATAAAGGGCTGATTTCAAGAGCTAGGTCTTACCCACCTAAGGGTATCCCATTCCCCATTCAACTCAATTGCCTGAGGGCTCACTTTTTCAACATCCCAGGTGGAACTGAGGAGAATCAAGAAAAATGTACCACACGCTTTCCTTTAAGAAACTCAGGGCAGTGAGAAGGAAAACTTATTACACAAACTCGCAATCGCTAAAGTAGACAGAGGGTCTTATGAGAAGAAAGCGTTAGGGATGAGGAGAGAGTTTCAGGCTCCCACAAAAAAAACAACGACAACAACAAAATAAAGCAACAAAGAAATACAGTTGAGCTGGGACTTGAAGGGTAGGTAGGAGTCCACCAGTTGACAAGGAACAGAAAGGCACTACTGCTGAGGGGATACCTGGCATTCCAACATCGCACCTGGCAGATGTGATGACTAGTTATTTGGGAAACACAAATTAGAATATCTGTATTCAAATAAGAATTAAGACATTCGAAGTAGTCTCCTAGGGATATGATATCTTATGTGAAGGTTATTTCTCTGCTCAATTTCTAAGCTGCTTTCATTGTTTAGAAGAGCCTCAATATCTTCTGAAAATAATTTTTTTTTTAATATAGCTCTAGACATTTATGGTATAGTAGTCAATGAATGTAGTCAATGACCAAGCCTGGGAATACCGGTTGAGATGAAGAAAAAGTAGGTGAGCTATAAAGTCATGACACAGGTTTTCTTGACTAATGATAAGCTGGCCTCAAGTCAATTCCAAAAGGGGTAAAAAAAATTAAACACTGAAAGAAGCCTTAAGATAGGGTAATTACTTGACTATGTCACAGGCTAAGACCTATTTGGAAGACACTCCTAAGTTGAATCTTGAAGGTTCGACAAGAATCTTCCAGGCAGATAATGGCATTGATTATGGTATGTTGGTTATTTAATGGCTCTCTGTAGTCACAGCTCCTAAGAGTCGGAAACAAGACTGTGACATACCTTATTCCAGGTATTAGTCCAGACTCTCCCTCACTAGCTACAATTTGAACTTTCAAATAAAAAACGGCTAGAAATAAAAATACCCCTTTCCTTGCAAAATGTGTTATATCCTATACCAATGAATGATGGCAGTAGGTGTTATTTAAAAAACCATGCTGGATAACAGTTTCATTATCTCTTATGTAACTATCAAGGAATGAAGCTATTTGATACCAACAGGAAGAATGATTACATAGCATAACAAAATATAGTGACAATAAGAAATTTCTACAAGTTATTTGATAAGTTCATCTCCATTTAGAAGAAAACACATCATTTTATAGATTTGCCAGCTTTGTTCCTAAAATGTTTCCATACTGAGTATATATCTTGCAATATAAAAAAAGATTTTAAATGCTAAAGAATTCCTGAAAGGAATTATTCTCCACACTTAAAATGTCTTTTAAAAGGCCATGTGGGTTTACCTTCATTTTCAAAAATTAATGTACCTATTCAAATATATATTTACAAAGAAATTTTACTCTCTGCCCCCAAATTTTTACAGTATTAGATAGCCTCTAACAATCACCTCTAAGTTCCTAATTTTCCTATGTGAACTTAGGCTTGTTGTATTTCTTTTGGCTGATTTTTATAAATAGGACATTCCTGCCATTCATATACCTCTACTGAGCTTGTTGTTTGTTTTCTTATGTTCCATTTTAGTTCTCTGTTGAAATGTAACATGCAGTATTACATAAAACAAAAAGAACTTGGACATACTTAATGAATTTAATTTAAAACTGAGGCACATAAATTATCTATGTGTTCATGGTTAAAATCTACTTCTTTAAAAACTCAGAATTTGCTGAGCGGTGTGTATTCTAATAAATATGGAATCTGCCCAGATGTATCTGCTATTTGCAGGCCTATACTATGTTTAATTCCAAATATTACTGCAATGGCTTTTTCCTTATGTTACTGTGAGGCTAAGAATTAAATCCCACACCATTTTCTGTGTAGACCAGCATCCATCATGTCACAAAGAAAGGAATATACAATAAAATTAAGGTGGTTTTCTTAGGTCTGATATTAATCAGCATGAGATCCAAGGAGAATACTGAATTGGGGAGCTCTATTTTCTAGACAAACGACGCGATGGCTAAGCGGCTGTTTGTACAGAGACTCACTACCAACACCTCCTTTGTTCATATTTAACTGTTCACGGGCTATAATGTGCAATGCTAGCTGAAAAAATTTGACAGGTTTAATTTCCCATTATAGTCAATTAAAATATTTTTACATTACATTAGTAAAACTGTGAGATTATTAAATGAATACAGTAAAGTCCAACTGATTCTCCTATCTTATTTTAAAGATTCATTTTTCTATTATATTACATTTGTGAAGAACAATGAAAACCAAAAACATGTTATTCCAGTAAATCATACATTTAACATCAAAACAATTATCTATCATATACATTTGTTAAAGTTTTAATATTCAACTGCTTCTCTGCATTGAAACATGTTAAAGTGTATCTGACCTGGAAGTACTTCTGACATGGATCACTGGACGTCAGCAATGGTGCAGGCAATAGGTTATAATTTGAAATCTGAAAAGAGGGATCATTTGAGAAATTAAAACCCCAAATAACAAAGCATAAAAGAAAAAAGGCATAGCATTGAAAATCTTCCCAAAAGCTGCTTAGAAAGTTAAACACATTTTGGCAGCTAGTGTCCAAATTTTTGTTGATTTATAGTTGGTCATACAACTTTCAACTAAAATTTGAATTCCTGCTTCATCACATTTCCCACAAACATTTCTTGAGATTTTTCCCATGCCAGGCTTAAGTCAATCTGTCTGTCTATCTATCTATCTATCTATCTATCTATCTATCTATCTATCTATCTATCTACTTTTTCTCATTAAAAACACACAATTTAGAAGCCAGTAAGGAAAAAACCAGTACATTTCACCATATAAAAATTTAAACCAGGCTAGTCGAGTGGCTCAGTTGGTTAAGAGCTCGCTCAAGAGTGCAAGCTCTGAACAACAGGGTTGCCAGTTTGATACCTGGCCCAAGCTGAGCTGCCGCTGAGCTGCCAACAGGTGGCAGCTAAAAAAAAAACAGGCTCAGCTAAAAAAAAAAAAAAAATTTAAACTTCTGCTTAGGAAAAAAAATGGCTATAAACACAGTAAAGACAAAAAACAAACTGGAAAAAAATTTAACACAAAAAATAATATACAAGAGCTAATTTCCTTTATATAGAAAGAGCTCCTTCAAATTAATAAGAAAAGTACAAACAAGCCTATAGGAAAATGAGCAAAGGACAGGTACAAGTCTGAAGAGAAACATAAATGTCCAATACATATATAAATAACTAACCTCACTTAAAACTAAAGAAAATGAGAATTTAAATAATGACTTACTGGACTAACCATAACAGACTGCAAAGGTTAAGTCTTGATAACACATAACCTAAGACAAGAACACTGGAAACAGGAGTTCTCAAACCTTGCTGGTAGGAATAAAAATTGGCAAAGCTCTTTGGAGGTCATTTATAAACACCAGAGCAGATGAAAAATTCATGGACCCCACTGCTCAGCAGGCTCCATTTCTAAGAATTTATTTAATAAACTCACATGGACTTTGTTGTTCTAAAAGTAAAGATCAGTAACAAACTAACTGTTCTTCAGTGGACAGCTGGCTCATTAAATTAGGATACATTCATATAAGGGTGAACTGTGCCTTCACTGGGAAAAACGAAGCAGGTCTACAGGCGCTGATGGAAAAAGGGCATTAAGACGTATCACTGAGCGGTGAACAGTATGCACAGCATAACATGATTGCACTTGAGTAATTTTTTAAAAGCATATACATGTGCATGCAAGCGCACGTATACATATACACACTCTTGCATTTACAGAGAAAAGTTGTTAAAGAATTAATAAAGTACTAGATACAGTGGTAAACTGTCAGTTTACCAAATTAGGTAAATAAGGAAAACCGAAAACAGACCTTGTTCAAAGAGTTGCCATCAGAAATGTCACTTAGAATGATAATCTGTTATATTAATTCAAATGCGGATACTGCATGATTCCATTTATATAAAGTACAAAAACAGGAAAAACTTATCTATGTCAGGATGATGACTTACCCTGGAGGACAGGAAAATGGGAAAAAACAAGAGGGTAGATTCTGGGATGTTGTGATGCACTGTTTCTTGATGTGGATGTAAAAACTCATCAAGCTGTACCCTTATGTCCTCATGTCTGTATGCTTATTACACTTCCATGAAACGTTAAAAGAAAAAGTCAGAGGCTAGAGGTTTTCTAAAGCACTGCTCAAATTGAGAAACTTTGTATTTGCAAAGACGAAATTCTAATCTAACCTTTCTAAACTAGTAACCTTTAATGGGTATTACTTCCAACTTTATGATTCAGATAATGACCTGACAACCTGGTCGACTGGCCCACGATACATTGTTAATCATATTTTCATATATTGTGGGCAAGGCTCATTACTCTGGTATAATTAAAAGGGTGGGTTTATTTGTAACCGTCCTGAAACAGCAAGAGAGGCTTCCTCTATCACCTTTGCTTTTGTCCTATGCCTGTCTCAGCTCCTTAAAAGTATTTCACAATTCAGTTTTCCTGTCTTTTAGTTTTTGTCTTCAGTGTACCTTAAGTTATAAGCAGAGACAGATGTGAGGTGATAGATATTTCAAGAAAATGAATACCAATAACACAGAGAGAAAGCTAAGAAAAAGCATACCTACAGGAATATTCTGAAAAGGCTTGAACAACACCTAAGAATCTGTACACTATTTAGTGTGTATACTCCTTAAAATAAAAGATTCCTTTTTTTCCCAAGATAAAACAAACTCCAGCCTCTATAAAGTTAGGAACTGGACAATCTGCTTATCACTTCATATTTCAAATGGTCCTGTGGTATTCTTATCTGACCAATATTTACTGCATTCTTGCCATGTGCCATGCATTATGCTAGGGGCAGGGAATACTTTAGTGAACAAACACACATTCCCCTCTCTCGTGGAACTTACGGCCTCGTCGGAAGATGGACATTAATCACAAAATCACTCAAATCAGTATGTATGTTTTGGAGGAAAAGAACTCAGTTCTATGAGAAAACATAATGAAAAAGTAACATGTGCCAGACTGGGGAGCCAGGAAACGCTTCCTTGAGAAAGTGAAATTTGAGTAAGCCTGAGGACTAAAGAGGATTTAGCTAAGTATCATTTATTAAAGCCCTACTATGCGCAAGGGACTCCCTGGCCCTGCAGAGCTGTTTTCCCCTAGGCACTGACATCCTTGATGAATCAGTCTAATCTAGTAAAACAGTTTCCAAGGACTTTGTGGCAAGAACTAATTCTACATAAGTAATAACCTGAGAAAATAGAAAAGCACTTAAGTACGGTATGAAGAATAATCTATAGCTATGCTGTCCAGTATGGTAGCCACTGGGAAAAACAAGGAGCTACTAACACCTGAAAGGTGACTAACAGAACAGAAGAAATGCATTTTTAATTTAATTAAATTATAATTAACTTCAATAAAATTTATAAACTGATGCCTGGGGAAAACTTAAGTCAGTTTGTTCACCTGGGTAGGTGAACCTACTTTTCAACTATAAATTTTATGAAATCTAAATACAGATTAAGTATTGGGTTGCTGGAAAAGTCATGACGCATTTTTGCAACAAAAAACATAGAAAAAATACGTCATGATTTTTCCGACAACCTAATATTGCCAATGAAAATTCTGCATTCAGGTTGAAAGCTATAAATGTAAAACACATGGTGACTTTGGAGACTTTGCATGAAAAGAAATGTAAAGTGTGCCATTAATACTTCTTAAATATTGATCACATGTTGAAATTATAATATTTTGGATATAGTGAGTTAAAGAAAACATATTGTTAAAATTAATTTCACCCGCTTTTTTTTTTTATGTGGGTACAAGGAACTTTCAACTTACACATGTGGCTCGCATTATAACTCTACTGGAGAAGTGCTGATGTAGATAATGCAGACACATTCTGAAACTTTATCCTAATCAAAATATTATCTACCTTTCCCATAAAAGCAAAGAGAGAAAGAAATGCTACCTTAGCTGTAAAGCTGACGAAGGTTTGCCAAAATTCAGAGCAAGTACCTTTGTTTCCATGAAAATCACATACTGAGTTCAAAGACACCCAAACTGCCGGGGTAAGCCACTACAAGCTCAATGTTAAGAATACAGTTGTGATTTTAAAACAAAGCATAAAACTATATAAGCGAGGCAGCCTAGCAATAACAGCTTCCCTGCTAGTAGCATTTTCATGTGTCCCATTAATGAAAATCCCTAATGCTTATATGCCTTGAGGTAATGCCACTGCAGCTCAATAAATGTCCAATAGGACCACAGAGAAGCGTCCCCAAGCAGAAATCACAAAAGCACTATCAAACACATAAATGAATAAATAAATTAACGCCCACTTGTATAAGTTCAGTATAAGATGTTATGTACATTTTGCCCCACTGGCCATAAATATAGATATTTCATATATATTAACTCAACTTTCTATGTGTTCAGTATAAGATGCCACATATTTCCCCCCATTGGAGATATATATATTCAACTTTCTATATAATAATCCAATCTTCAATGTCTTTATTTTTGTCAACATAATATGACCCCCAACCCAGAATGCCACAGTAAATCATCTCACTATAATCATGCCCTTATGTGTTCCACTTGTATTACTACTGATCGTTCTTTTTTATTTGTGATATTGTGTTTGCAATTTAAAATAAAAAGACTTTTCCCCTTATTTTTATTGTGTAGTTTACCTTTTTTCAATATGTAATTACACACTGTACCTATCAGGTTTTACGTAGGAAACAGATGACACAATCAAATTGAATAATTTGAGAAAGGGTTAATTAACGGAGTGTTAACAAAAAATGAAACAAAAAACGGTTCACAAGGTAAGAAAACTACAAGGGACAATGTAGCACCCAGAACTAGTAAAAACGAGTTACCACCCATGTCTGAAGGAAGAGAGAGCTGTGTATTAAGAGGGCACCTCCCAACATGGCCACCGTCTTCCACAGAGGCGCACAGCCAGCCATCGACAATCCTGTGCAAAACTGGCTGCTTCTCCTGCTCTCCCTGACTGATCTCTGGCTAGAAGGATGAAAATGTACTATTCCTAAGTAAGCTAAAATTGTGTGTAACTCCCCTTTTTTCAAAGAAACAGGTGAAAAATCACATGTTCATCCATTTAAATCCAGCTCAAGTATTAACATCAAAGAAAATTGATAAAATTTTCTTTGAACTACCTGTTTTAATTACTACCATCCCACCACTAAACTTTGCACATATTTCTATTACTACACTTAACACATGACATTAAATTCTGATTTTTATCTTTTTTTCTAATAGAAGATAAATTCCTTGAAGGACTGCCTTACTTATTTTTATTTTATTATTTTATTGAAGTATAACTGACATAAAATTATATTAGTTTCAAGTGTACAACAAAATGATTCAGTATTTGCATTTACTGTAAAATCATTACCACAATAAGCCCAGTTAACATCAATTACC